CGAACCATGATTGCCTTCCCATTCGAGTTCATACTCACATGTTAATGATCAAATGAGCATTGCAGCATCCCAGTTTTCACAACTTATAGATTTCGCCATCCACATAAATGGGTGGACTCGGGCCGGTTCGGGCCTGGGCCCGGCCGGGCCTCGGTTCAGGAATGGGAGGACCAGAACCGGCTCGGGTAACCCCGGGTCCGGGCCGGGCCTCAGTTCTATTTTTTTTGGCTTTTCCTAATTAACCCCCCCCACCCCCAAACCACCTCAAATGGCCCAAAATACCCAGCCCAACCCAAAAACTTAAAAAAAATTCAAAAAAAAAAAAATAATTTGGCCCGGACCGGGCCCGAACCGGCCGGGCCGGTTCACCAATCCTAGGGCCCGAGCCCGAATCGCATTCCTACCGGGCCGGGTCGACCCAAACCGCCCCCCGGACCGGTTCCCGGGCCGGGCCGGTTCAAACAGTAACCGGGCCGGGCCGGTTCAAACAGTAACCGGGCCGGGCCGCCCGGCCCGAGTCCACCCCTAGATTAATAGGCATGGATCGGGCCCGGGCCGGGCTTTTTTGGGGAAAGTTGAGGCCTGGAACCGGCCCGGTTATCCACCGCGTCCGGGCCGGGCCTCGGGCCGGTTCATTTTTTTTTCTTTTCTAGTTAACCCCTGACCCCCCCAACCCCCCCACCCAAAACACCCAGCCCAACCCAGGAAAAACAAAAAAAATTGAAAAAAAATAACAAAATAGGCCCGAACAAGGCCCAGCTCGGCCGAGCCGGTTCCTATTTTGGCTGACCCGAGCCCGCCCTATGTAACCCCCGGACCGGGCCTACCCAGACCGGTCTCTGGCCGGGCCGGTTTCAAACAGTGCTGGGCCGGGCCAGGCCACGGGCCGGTCGGCCCGGAACCGGTCCATCACTACCTCTATACATTACTGGGTGGCTATCTTGTGAAATCCTAACTTCCACAAACACCACATCAAACAACTGCCATTTCAAAGTCTCACACGACTTAGCCGTAAAGAATCAAAATAAGTTTTGAAAATAAATTTACCTTTCAAGTCTGAAAATTGTTGATGCCGGTAAAAGTAATACATAATGGTCTGAAAGATGAGACACGTTGTCATTTTTCTGATTTCAAGTCCTGAAAATTGTTGATGCCGGTTAAAGTAATACATAATGGTCTGAAAGATGAGACATGTTGTCATTTTTCTGATTTCAAACAAAGAACAACAATAATGTATGAAAAGTAATCGCCCGACGAAGACTAAAAAATGAAAAGTAAGGCAGAAAAATAATATATGAAATTATGAAGAGTGCAAATAAAATGTGAAAAACAACTATGCAAAAATGAAGAAGTAGGTGCATAGAAGAGTTTAGAAGTTGAACACATTCGTTTACATATATACAACAAGGTTACTTAGCAGAAGATGGATAATCAACCTACTTCAACTGAAGTCTCGTTGGATTGACATGTCTATAATTGCAATTATTGAAACATCATTTGTAAAATATCAACACAACCTATTGGAACTGCAATGATTGTACTTACTCACCTGAAAAAAATGACTTAGTGACTTTCTTATGTCACAATAGCTATTTTTTATTCATGGAAAACAGAGTTTTTATAAAATTCAGAGTTAACTCTGTCACAATATTAAATCTTGGGAAAATTGTCAATTTGGTTTCGTACTTTCATGAAAAAGTCAATTGGGTCTTCGTAATTTTGAAAAAATCAATCAAATCCCTGAACTTTGTAAAAATGTTCAATTGAGTACATTTGCAGGTTACCAGCTGACTTGGCGCACATGTGGCAGCCCAATCAACAATAATTTTGTTGACGTGGCACACATGTGGAAGTTTGATCAGCGCACACATGGACCGCCATGTGTGCGCCACGTCAGATGGTAACCTGCAAATGTACTCAATTGAACATTTTTACAAAGTTCAGGGATTTGATTGATTTTTTTAAAAGTAAGAGGATCTAATTGACTTTTTCATGAAAGTACGAAGACCAAATTGACAGTTTTCCCTTAAATCTTTAATTCGCCCTTTTAGAAAACTTTAATATATCAAATTCAGTAAGTATCGGGGTCTCAAAAAACATACACCATATTTCAAAACGTGAATTTTAGTCCACACTTAAGAAATAACAAGAAGCATTAAATTAACTATTTACATTTTACTTTATGATAATTGATAGCGAAATAAAAATTCAAAAAACTTGAAACTTATTTAGCGAAATGACTATTTTTGTGAATAAATGAAAGCAAACTATGAGAGTATATAAGTATGTATACACATTTGTATAAAGGATACATGGGTATGTAAATAAGGATGTTTTTACTTAGACTTTAATCTGTCCCAGACCAGACCAAACCAGACCAGACTTGGATAGTTATAAAAATACAAAGAGACCAGATATTACCAGACCAGATCAGATCAAACCAGACCACCAAATCAACAAATTACAGTCCAATATAAATATGCATACACATGTGCATGTATATACTTTAATGAACACATTAATGATTACAAAATACAACACAATATTTTTGTTGCCTGACTTTTTTGTGAGCATGTCATAACCAAGTCTTTTCTCAATTTTGATATTATTACTAGTAGCACATAATCCACAAAGTCACCACTTATGTAAAAGAGAGCCCATTCTTTGCCTTGACATTTCGGACTTTCGGTTAACTAACAACGATACAAATAACCTTAAAAAAAACAAAACAAATACGGAGTAACTATTTGCGTTATTATACAACCCATACTCTTCATTTTGTTTATATCAAGTCACACAAAGTGATTTCAATAATTACAGTACAAATAATAAAAAGAGAGAATTTGACTTTGCATCTTTCTAGTCATACCAGTACGGAGTATTATACAACCCATACATCTTTCTAGTCATACCAATATTATACTCCCTCCATCCCGAAAAGGTTTGCCAAATTTCTTTTTTTGGATGTCCCAAAAAGATTTGTTATTTCCATTTAAAGTAAGGGATATGTGGCTAAAATTAATTCTCTCTCCTAAACACAAATTTCAACCACACATTTTTTACTTTATTAATCCACGTGAAAGTCAAAGTTGACGAACCTTTTCGGGACGGAGGGAGTATATAATAAAAAATAACTATTTGCGTTATTATACAACCCATACATCTTTCTAGTCATACCAATATTATATACGAGTATAATAAAAAATAAAATTAAATAAGGGAGAATTTGACTTTGTATCTCACTTTGTAGATGATATTGGATTTTGCATCTCATTTTATAAAAGTTTCGACTTTGCACCTCATCATATAACATTTTGTGAACCATTTTTTTTTTTGAATGAGGTGAAAACTCAAAGGATTATTAAGTGAAATGGGGGTGCAAATTCAAAGTTTTTTGAAAACGGAGTTTAAAGTCTAATATCATTCAAAAAATGTGGAGTAAATTCAAATTTACGATTTTTTTCATTCATCTAGTATTAGTCATTATTTTAAGTATGTAAAAAATTGACAAATCATATAAAATGTAATAAAATAAAAATAATTAAAGTTTTGATATTTTTTAAAAAATTGGACAAAAAGTTATAACAATTGAAAAAAAAAAAAAAAAATACTAACATACCACATGGCAGCACCATAGGGGTGAACATCACCCTCAATAGGGTGAACATGTTGCCTTCGGTTTGAATATCTTGTAGACTAATTCAATTACTCCCTCCGTTCCAATATTATTGTCCCGTTTGCTTTTTCACACAGATTAAGAAAATGACACTGCAGCTACACTGTTTGGCACTGTAGCGACACTGTTTGGCACTGTAGCGACACTGTTTGGCACTGTTTTGCGCTGTTTGACACTGTTTGGTATAGATTTCTTTACCAAATAAGGAAATTAAAGAAACGAGACAATAATTTCGGGACGGACCGAAAAGGAAAGCGGGACAATAATTTTGGGACAGAGGGAGTATTTTGAGAAACCAGCTAAAAGATACTCCATCTGTCCAATAAAATTCTTCATAGTTTAACTTGGATCAGAGTTTAAGAAAGTGAGAATAAAGTGAAAATGTATGGTTGTGGTTGAGTACGAAAAACATAAATGATAGTAGTCACACAACAATTTCTGAAAAGGAAAATAAGAAGAATTTTTTGGACCATCCCAGAAAAGTAAGTGAGAAGAATTTTAAGGGACGAAAAAAACGTGTACCAATTAGGGAGTATAATTTATAAGGAAAATGATAATCTAGTAATTTACGTAGGGTTATAAACGAATCGAATCGAATACTGAGTAATAATATTCGTATTCGTATAACTTGACTAATATTCGTATTCGTATTCGGATATAATTCGAATCTTAAATAAGATTCGTATTCGATTCGTTAATGATATTCGAATATATTTGTATTCGAAAATTCGAATTCGAATATTTGTAGGGGAATTTTTTCACACATTCAAATTATCATGTTTTGTATGTATTTTCTTCGATTTTCGCAAATATTTCTATTAGCTAAACTATTTTAAAAAATCAACTACTTCAAAAATCAATTTGAAAGTTGAAACCCGTTCAAAATAAAGTAAAAATTGTAAAATCAATTAATCAAAAAATCAATTACTTAAAAAAAACTATTAATGAAAGCACAAAATTAATTAAACTAATAAATTTGAATTTAAGCTAACAAAGAACTATTTTAGTTATTTTAATTTAAATTATTATAAATTATAAATACAAATATAATAATCTAAAATATAATTCATGTATATACAAATCGAATATATTCGTATAACATACGAATCGAATATATGTATATTCGTATTCGTATTCGAATTTTATACGAATAACAAAACCGACTTGTATTCGTATTCGATTTTTTCGATTCGAATCATCAATTTCGAATTCGAATCACGAATCGGATCAAAATTATTCGATTCGTTTACAACCCTACATTTACGGGGAGTACTTATTTTTTTATTTATTTATTGATTTGACTAATTTTAAGATCCGCTTTCGCTAGTCCTGACACCAGATCGGATAGGCTCGGAAACCGCTCCGGTTCTTACTCTGTCTCTCTAAGCACATTAGTGGAGCTTTCTGGTTTCAATCAATTTACCATATCTTCTTCTTTGACATTTTGATTTTTAATGAATTTCTTCCGTAGATTATTACTACTGCGTCACTGCGTTCTACTCCATTAGATTATTTTCTCGTCCGAATTCAGAAGCCCTCTCGGTTGCTATCAATACTCGTAATTATACCATGAAGAAGAAACTCGATACCCGTTTCCCTGCGGTATGCCATCGCCTCTCTAAGCATTGCTCACTTATTATTGTTATTAATGCTCCATAAAATTCTTATAAAAGCCAGAATTGGGATACACTTCAGATTTTGTTTTACCCAGATTTAATTTTGTTGCTGATTTATCTTTCTTGGTAAAGTTCAAAATTTCACTTTTCATAATAAGCGGTACTGCGGTAAGCTGTAGCAAATTTACTTACTTGTTATGCAGTTATAGACTTATAGTAGTTCTACTTTTCAGCTTAAGAAGCAGTCATTTATGCTCTTTATGGGAAATTGGCAGCATTTCCTCTCTTTTAAAGTTTATGGGCTTGTTTGGTTTGGGGATTTTGGAGGTAAAGGAAGGGATGAGGGAATGATTAATTTTTTATATTACTAATTTATCTTATAGACTACAAATAAGAAATAACTATATAATTTGTTAGACCATATTTTTTTTATGACGTATGACCTATGCCCTTCCCTCTCCTCTGAAACCCCCCACCCCAACCAAACTGGCCCCAATAGTTAGATAGTTGGTAAAGTTACAGACCTTAAGTTCCTTAGGAGCATATACTTGGATTTTGAGCTGAGGTTCCCTTTGTGTCGTCATATTTTTGCTGGCAAAGTCATTCTCTCAGATGTGCTTGTCGATATTTAAATATCAAAATTTGCAATGAGATAGAATTTAGAAATAAGACATCACATTCTGATTATATTTTTCATGCAACTGGATTTTAAAATTATTGAAATGCCACTGAAGTTCATGGAAGACAAAATGTCTCTTATGTATAAGATCGGGGTGATTAAACATGTCCTGAAGGATGGAAGCGAGAAAGAAAAAAACATCTTTCTTGAAATTTGAGATAAAGTATTTCGTTAAAAATGACTTCGTGAGTTCCAGAAGAAAATGCAGAATACTTTTTTAAATTACTCACCAGTTACCACCAGTCATATTGTAGAGTGTTCTATTTTTCGTGGAGTTTCAAGATTAATTTCACATGATTTTTTCTGTTGAGCTTGGAATTTGGTATAAAAATGGCATCCATCTCACATTGGTCACAAATTTAGTATGCAAACGTATATAGTATGAATGTGTGATGCTGAGGATCAGGTGGGAAAAACCTGTACCATTATTCAACACTTGGGATCCAGTTCTAATAAACCTCTTTTCAGGCTTTTCTCTAACTGGTTGAACCTTCTATCTAATTCTAAGAATGAGGAATAATTTCTTCCAGGAGCTTTAGTAATTTAGGCTGTATACTTGGGCTTATGATACATGCAAGGAATATAATCTAGCATAAAGGTGTAATGTGTCAAAGAAAGAAGTTAATCAAGTTGTTTTGTTAAATTATCTAGAGAAAGGGAAATTAGGCAAATTTATTTGATGGATTGATTTTTAGTTTTTTACTCCTTATCACTTAATAAACATGTCCCTTATTATTTAGGCTATCTCCTTAGTAGAAAGGCATTAAGAGTTGAAATTGGCTGGAGCAAGTACAATTGTTGCAGGCGGGTTCCTTCAGGGCTCTTGGAGTGTTCTAACTTCTAAGAATCTCTTTTTCAGTCTTTTGTTCCTTTTAAAATAAAGTTGTCTTGGTTCTTTTTTACTCTTTACTCCCTATTAGTTGGTCCGACTTGCTGCTGCTATATGTCAAAAAGAGGGACAAAAGGCTCTATAGTTAGCAAAACATGGGTCATGCATTTTATCGCCTTGAAGAAGCTTTGAAAAAGATTGAAGAGATGCTCAACAATTCAGAGAAAGATGAGCATCTTCAACCCTCTTCACTGGAGGATTTTCAATTCATCACAAAACTAATTGAACTCCCAAACTTCAACAGGAATTACCCTATCGGGTTTCCCGGTTGATTGGAATACAGAGCAGTATTTCTTCGTTAAATATGTAAGGGATGATCTAAAATCAGTGATATCTTTTGGGATCCTAAAGGTATGGCATAAATTAGTTCAATGGATTCCTAGCAGAAAAACCTTTCTTCAACATGGCAATGTTTCACGAGCAGCTCCAGAACAAATGCAATAGAAATATCCTGTTGAACTTTGACCAAACAGCTCAGTACAGGTGATCTGTAGACACATGAGGCATAACTGGAGTTAGCTGACATTAATCAAGCTATCATTCATTCTCTTCCCCCAGAAGACCCCAAAAAATCACGCATTCACCAAAAGAGTGAGGAGTTCCATTTTGCTGCAGCCTGCAGAGGAAAGTTGGTGAAAAGATTTCGTGCATTGATGGAGCAGAAGTCAATCAGTAAACATTTGCAGGACACAAGAAAGGCGTTGATTGTTCAAGGGTATGCCGTCATACCCCCTATGAGGAGACAGAGAGAAAGAAATTTGCAGCAGACTGCTGGAGAGCTCAGATGCATTTGAACCCATGGTAAAATGATAAAAAGGAAACGGGTGAAAAGAAGAAAGGCATGAAGGGATAAATGGAATTCATGCTGAAGAAAACTAAAAAAAGAGACCTTGGTTAGTGTGAGATTTTCAATTAGAAATGCACGGGGCTTTTTTCGTGTAGGATGAAGATATTCCAACAAACTAGAAATGAAAACTGGGTTGCATTTCAGTTTATGAAATTGCAGGAGAAACAATGTTAGGCAGCCCACTTAAACATTTTTATAGGGTTAAAAACATGCATTATACCTGTGTCTGCGGTGCCTAATCTCCATTCCTATCCTTTTGGACAAGGGTGTTTTCCAGTGGGTGGGAATGATTCACATAATAAGGAATACATTTTAGCATTAAAGAGAAAATTATCAAATAAAGGAGCTAATCAAGCCGACTGATTATTGACTTGGGATTGGAAAATACCCAGTGATAAATTAATATAATTGATTGGTTTATATTCTCTAATTTATAATTTCCTTTCTTATAAAGTAGGCATTTTTCTAAGAAGAAAGACATCAAGAGATGAGAATAGATAGTCAGACTTTGGAGGGGGCAAGTACTATTACTGCAGGAAGGTTCCTTTGGCTATGGGGCCCTTGGAGTGTTTCTCAGAACCTTTTTTTCAGTCTTTTTTCTTTTTAAATAAATTTATCATAACGTTTTGTACTATTTACTCCCTATCAGCTTAGTTCATTGCACTATCTTATGAAGTTCATTATTGTTCGAATTTTGTTGTGTTCTTGATATTTCTTCAGTAATTCTCTTGATTATCCTTTTGAAAAAATGATTAAAATTGCATAGGCTCGGATCAAGAAAATTATGCAAGCTGATGAGGATGTTGGAAAGATTGCAATGGCAGTGCCTGTTTTAGTATGTAAGTCGATATTGATGAGTTAATCTCTTCGTTTTATTTACCATTCCCTCTGTTTTTTAGATGTTGCTTTAGATTTTTATTGCTGTCTAACGCTTGTCACATTCGGTGTGAACAAGTGTTATTATATTTCATATACTTGATGATAAAATACTATACAAGAAGCTATATTTATAGCTATATTTAGAGTACTAGGGTTTCCTATACAAATGGGCTAAGCCCAATACTACTAGGGTTTCCACACTCCCCCTCAAGCTGGAGCATATAGATCATATGTACCAAGCTTGTTACAAATATATTCCACTCTAGGACCTCTAAGAGACTTAGTTAAAATATCTGCAAGTTGTTCAGTTGTGTTCACATATTTTGTGATGATATGTCCACTCGTGATCTTCTCTCGGATAAAATGACAATCAACTTCAATGTGTTTTGTCCTCTCATGATATACCGGATTTGATGCGATGTGCATTGCAGCTTGATTATCACACATGAGTTGAACCGGTTTTGTGTTCCCATATTTTAACTCTTGGAGAAGATGCTTCAACCATAAGATTTCACATGTAGCAAGGGCCATTGCACGATATTCTGCTTCAGCACTAGATCTGGCAACCACATCTTGTTTCTTACTTTTCCATGAAATTAAGTTTCCACCAATCAAGATGCAATATCCCGAAGTGGAACGTCTATCCATAGGACATCCGGCCCAGTCTGCATCACAATATCCCACAATATCATGGTGGCCTCGATCTTCAAACAACAATCCTTGCCCTGGAGTTTTCTTGATGTATCTTAAAACTCGGATAGCTGCATCCCAGTGTCCAGTACATGGCTTATCAAGAAACTGACTAAGAACACTTACCGCAAATGAAATATCTGGTCTTGTGATGGTAAGATAATTCAATTTGCCGATGAGTCTTCTGTATTTTTCCTTGTTGGGCAAAAGATCTCCCTGTTCTGATAATAGTTTAACGTTTGGATCCATTGGTGTATCCACCGGCCTGCAATCTAGCAATCCTGTTTCCTCAAGAATATCCAAGGCATACTTTCTTTGTGAGAGAGCAATTCCATCTTGAGACTGTGCAACCTCAATGCCAAGGAAGTATCTCAACTTTCCTAAGTCTTTTGTTTGAAATTTGCTAAAGAGATGTTGCTTGAGGAGCGCAATTCCTTGATCATCGCTACCTGTAATGACAATGTCATCAACATACACAACAAGATAAATACATTTGTTGCCAGCAGAATGTCTGTAGAATATAGAGTGATCGACATCACTGCGAATCATGCCAAAGCTGCAGACAACGTCACTAAACCTCCCAAACCATGCACGTGGAGATTGCTTCAAGCCATATAATGAACGACGTAATCTGCACACCATACCAGACTCCCCCTGAGCAACAAATCCAGGTGGTTGCTCCATATAAACTTCCTCGTGCAGATCTCCGTGAAGGAATGCGTTTTTAATATCCAATTGGAACAATGGCCATCGGCTCATTGCTGCCATGGATAAAACCAAACGAACTGATGCAATCTTTGCTACAGGAGAAAAAGTGTCAGTGTAATCCAAACCATATATTTGAGTATACCCTTTTGCCACAAGGCGTGCTTTAAAACGATCAATCTTCCCATCAGGCCCAACTTTAACTGTGTAAATCCACCGACACCCCACCACTGATTTTCCAGTGGGAAGGGGGACTAAGTCCCACGTCCCACTAGAATGAAGAGCCTCCATCTCAGCCAACATGGCTTTACGCCACTCTGGGTGTGCCAGTGCCTCATGTGTGGTTTTAGGAATGCATATATGAGACAGGTGGGAAATGAAAGCATAGTAAGGGGTAGAGAGACGGTGATAACTCAAAAAGTTATAAATGGGATGTGGATTCAATGTGGAACGCGTACCTTTTCGGAGGGCAATGGGCAAATCATCCTGAGTGGTTTCAAGTGCTGGAGTAGGTGATGGTGGTGATGCAGGATCCGTCATAGGGGAATCAATGGGCGTGGCCACGATGGGCTCAATGGGAGGAGGTCGAGGGCGTCGATGGTATACCTGTAATGGACGGTCTGACACAGGAGGGAAGTTTGGGTGCTCATCAGATGGGGGGTTAATGGGAGCCTCCTGATGGATGGGCCGGAGATATGAGGTGAAGTCCAAATATGACGGGGTATCAACTGAAGATAATGGATAGTAAAAGGACGACTCAATGAAAGTGACATCAGCTGAAATAAAATGTTTCTTAAGTAATGGAGAATAACAGCGATAACCTTTTTGGAGTCGCGAATATCCAAGAAAGATACATTTTATTGACCTAGCCGACATTTTAGGTAATCCAGGTGTCGTATCATGGACAAAACACACACACCCAAACACATGGGGTGGTAATGGAAATAAATCACGAGCAGGAAACAAAATAGAATAGGGAATTTCATTATTAAGAACTGAGGAAGGCATTCTATTAATTAAATGACACGCAGTGAGCACAGCATCTGCCCAATACTGAGGCGGTGTATGAGAATGTAATAATAAGGTACGGGCAGTATCAACCAAGTGTCGATTCTTGCGTTCAGCAACCCCATTTTGTTGAGGCGTGTGAACACAAGATGATTGGTGAAACATACCCCGTGATGTCATGAATTGATTAAAGGATGCCCCAAAAAATTCTTTAGCATTGTCACTGCGTAAAATTTTGATAGAATGACCGAACTGAGTTTGAATTTCAGCACAAAAAGTTTGAAAAATATGAAACAATTCAAAACGCTCCTTCATTAAGAACAACCATGTGTAACGGGAAAAATCATCCACAAAAATAACAAAGTAACGGAAACCTAAAGTAGAAGTGACCCGATACGGACCCCATACATCTGTATGAACTAAATCAAACGGTGATGTAGCCCGTTTATTGACTCGCCTTGGAAAGGATTTACGAGGTTGTTTTCCAAGGTGACATGACTCACAATCTAAAGATGAAAGATTTGAGAAACCTGGAACCATACGTTGAAACTTGGAGAGGCTAGGATGACCCAGACGATTGTGTAAGGTAAGAGCAGGTTCAACTGAAACACAAGCAATTGGATCAAGAGGATGGAGGTGATACAGACCTTGAGATTCATGTCCGACGCCAATCGTTTTCTCCGTACAACGGTCCTGCACAATCACAGAATCAGCAGAAAATGTTACGGAACAATTAAGAGCACGTGTAATTTTACTGACAGAGACAAGGTTAAAAGGGGTGTTAGGGACATATAAGACGGAGTCTAATGGTAAGGATGAAAATGGAAGTGCTTGCCCAATACCCGAAGCCGAAGTTTGAAGGCCATTAGCAAGAGTAATCAAAGGAAGATGTCGCTGCTTGGTTATATTGGATAAAAGATGGGGATTACCAGAAATATGATCTGAGGCACCTGAGTCAATGATCCATGAGCCTGTTGTGTTTGAAACACAAGCAGTAGACACATCAGGTGTGGATAAAGGCATATTAGTCACCTTAAATTGCTGATATGCTGCATATTCTTCTGGTGATAGAACAATGGGAGATGGTGAGAGCTGAGCAACATGGGTTGAGGGAGGAGGTCTCCCATGTAATTTCCAACACCTGTCTTTAGTATGACCGATTTTATGGCAAAAATCACATTTAGGACGATTCCATCTTGAGTATCCGGTGTTGTTTCCTCTGTCAGAACTCATAAAAGACTTTTTTTTTTTTTTTTTTTGTACTGTTTTTTTTTTTTCTTTTTTTTTTCTTTTTTTTTTAAAGGAATGAAAAGCTAAAATTAGCAAACAAACGGGAGATAAAAATTAAAACCTGCCGAGGGGATGCTTTAGTAGAACTCCAGCAGTTTGCCAATAATAGAAAAACAAAAGTAATCCAGCTGGAGTGGGTTGACAAAGACCTTCCCTGGACTGCTGGACTGTGTTGACCAAGAGAGCAGACCAGAGAGCAATCCAGAGAGCAGTGCAGCAGCGGAAGAAACTGCCTGGTATTCCGTCAAACAGGTAGAGCACCGGCCAGAGCAGCGGCGAGCGGCCAGAGAGACGGCGACGACCAATACGAGCGGCGCGTGTGGAAGCGGCGGCGCGTGTGGAAGCGGCGGCGCGTGTGGGGGCGGCGGCGGACCGGACTGACTGGTCTAGGTCGTCAGAGACCTAGGTTTCTGCAAGTGCGGACTTTCAGCGGCGGCTGGCGGCGCGTGGGTGAGGCAGCGGCGGCGAAACTTCCGGCGGTAAGTCGCTATGTAGAGCTGAGCACGATGGTAGGCTTGTATCACTACCAAAAGCACTCAAGTGAGTTGCGACCACTATTCACGCCGGAAATTATGACCTGAATTTCTGTCCGGATTCGGAGCGGCAGTTTATAACACTAACTAGCTAACTATATTTGCCGTATAGGCTCTGATACCATGTGAACAAGTGTTATTATATTTCATATACTTGATGATAAAATACTATACAAGAAGCTATATTTATAGCTATATTTAGAGTACTAGGGTTTCCTATACAAATGGGCTAAGCCCAATACTACTAGGGTTTCCACAGTTATCAAGAGAGCATTAATTGATCATTTTCCTTCCTTATTCTTTTCCATCCCTAAATGCTATATAGTATTTTAAAACATTAGTTGGTATATTCTAATCATACCGATTTAAGGTTTCTAGATACTATTCGTGTGGTCAATTTAACTCTATTCTAAACTCATTTTATATAATATCCGTAATTTTTTATCATATTCCAATTCAGCTTTTCTGTGATATAGTTTTCAACTATGTAAATATTACTTATTAGTATTAAATGAACTAGTAAGTCACCCGTGCGATGCACGGTTGGTGAAATTTCACTGGTGTAATTAACATTAGTCAAATTTTTAAATAAAAAACAAACTTGTAATTTTAATTGAATCGTTTAGAATTATACTCCATGCAACAATAAAGCTTGACGTAAAATGAAACATATAAAATACGATTTACCAATGATTACATAGTAGTACTCAATTTTTTATAGCTCCACAAAATAGCAAGTAACACACACTATAAATATCATTTGAAAACAAATTACATTTCATGGTAAATGTTATGAAACACTTCTTTTTACTTTCTGTCTTGCAATAACCCTTTTTAAAAGGGAAATTGCCCTAAATCGCAATAAAAGCGTTTGTATATTCCAAAATAGGACTATCATATTTTTATTCTCAAAATAGGAGTAATTACTGGTATGTTTTGGCGAATTCACATGTACATAATTCTAGAAATTCTTCCACATTTATATTCCCTCCGTCGTCTCATCGCATTTATCATTATTGGATGTCCCAAAAAAATTCTATCCAATATTATTTTTGAAAAGTTTTGCGTGGCTAACATTCATCTATCTATCTCTTACTCAATTACTACGGTACTATCATATATTTTTACTTTATTCTCACCTTTTAAACTCCAATCCAAATCAAACTAGGAAGAACTTTATGGAATGGAAGGAGTAATTTTATACCTCAACACCCTCAATGCCCACTAACTTTCAATATGTGTTACATACACTATATTCATAATAAAGTACAGAGTATACCACCTACTTCCCGTTTTCATTTTTTCAACCCTAATTTATCCACGCCCCTTGTAAAGGAGTGTTTAGTAACACTTAATATAAGCACTTCTTAGCTTTTAACTCTATTCTAATCTCATTTTATATAATATCCGCAATTTTTTTATCATATTACAATTCAGTTTTTTTGTGATATAATTTTCAACTATGTAAATATTACTTATCAGTATTACGCAAAAAGTTTTGGTTAACCTTATCTTTAGTCTACTATCGTGAACTGAACCAAGAACCTTCACAATTCACACAGGGTGGAGGGAGTACATTTTCTTGATTTTAGAAAGATTTCTTTCTTTTGTTGTGTGTGTGCAGTGTGCAAATACCTGAAAGGACACTTGAAAAACGGGTGGAGTATTATGTAGTAATCTTTATTTTACTATAATTTTTCTCCTTAGGCTATTGTTTGATTTTTTTTTTTGTACTGCTAGTATTGTAACTGTATTTCTTTGGAACATATATAAATGCAGCTAAAGCCTTGGAGTTGTTTTTGCAAGACCTGTGTGATAGGACATATGACATAACTCTTAGAAGAGGAGCAAAGACTGTCAACTCTTCACATTTGTGAGTGCGAATTCATGCTTGTTTTCGTTTTGCCTTCCCAATTGTAGTTGAATATCTGCATAATTTTATCACCTATAACTGCTATGATTTATAACATGTATGCTCTAAACTGGTTAACTAGGAAGTGGTACTTTTCTGATGTTATTCTTAAGTGTAATTCTACTATGCAGGAAGCAATGTATACAGAGCTACAATGTCTTTGACTTTTTGAAAGAAGTTGTGAGCAAGGTCCCCGACTATGCTAATTCTGATGCCGGTGCTGAAGTGTCAAGAAGAAGGTACATACTGATAGAACCTCCAAGATTCCAGAACAATACACAGGAAGATTATCAAGAAACAATTTACAACTTTATTGATTAATAGAGGAAGAACAAAGATTGTCGATCGGTAAACAGTAACAAAGGCCAAAGCCTCCCAAAAGAGAAGAGAATAACTCTCTAATCTTTCCCAGTCCCAGTCCCAGTCCCAGTCCAAAAGTCCCAAAAGCCTCCTTACTACTCCCCTTCCCCTCTATTTATAATAGAGACCCTTATTACTAATATTATTATTATTGCTTCTATTATTAGTCTAATAGGTAGGTCCCTATCAATACTCCCCCCCTAAACATCCACCTTGCCCTCAAGTTGGGTGATAGGAAACAACCAAAATCTTCCGCTTCTTCTTCATCCTGGTGCTTCTACCTTCCCAATATCTCGCTGGTTTCTGAGCAAAGAGCTTCAGTACTGGATCTTTACAATTGACAGATGTTTCATTTTCTTCCTTAGTCTTCAGGCCTTTAATAGCCACCAATATTTTTATGCTTTCCTGAGGTATATCCCTTACAACAGAAGCAGAATCTGTGTTCATGTCCTGAATATCAGGATTCTCATCCCTTTTAATCTGCTCATCAGTAATTGTTGAACTACAAGTTTCTTCAACTCCATTTGACTTTTCTCCCTTTGAGTTATGATGATTGACTGTCATGATGTTTTTCAGTAACATAATGCCATCCTCTACCGCACTTTGAGTGCTCCCAACCTCATTCCACCAAACAACTTCCATCGAAATTCTCCACCTGAGCCTCTTTACTATTGCACGTTTATCAAAAGGAGATTCTATTTTCACTTGGTGTTTTAAAATATAGAGTGGAAGAACCCAGACTCTCTTCAAAATGGCACAATCTTTACTAGTATGAAGCAACACAAATACCAAGCAGCGTTTTGTGGACGAGAATACAAAGTCAGCTCCTGCATCACCATGTACTTCAGCCCTAAATCTTTCAGATTCTGTGGGGGATAAGTGCCAGTCTGCTACAACACAGAAAACAACTACTTGCTTGTGATCAGTTTCTGGTTTTAAAGATGAATCCACCGGGTACTCTAATGTGGAGATTGCAAGTGCAGCCTGAATTGTAGTGACCAGATTCACCTTGATTCCACCCAACTGACATTCTGTCCATTTCAATCCAAATTCTGAGGAATTCCATTTCAATCCAGAAGCTTGGTAACCGTGTGTTTAGAAAGAAAGCATTCTTGATTAAATGAAACATCATTTGAAGAGCATATTGACTGTTCAGGGGTATCAATTAGCCTTGCTTTTGGGAGGAAATTCATTCCAATGCCCTAGATGATGAAAAGACACCCCATTCCCCTTTCTGCAATGGATATACCCCTCTTTGAGGTTTGACCTAGGGTTGATCTTTGAGTGATTGAAGACTATCCCTTCAATTATACTAATCTGTAGATCAGTCTTTCCCAATTGCTTTGCTAATGCACCCCTGAGTGACGCCACACTCTCACGTTCTTGAACTCTATCCAACAATGATTTAAAATTTTCTGGGTTTCTTATCAATACAAAATCATACCCCTGACCATCATAGGTTTCTGAATCTTCAGGATTATCTGGTGGAGATTCCCTGGTTTGAGTAATGTCATTTTCTAAATCTGTTTCAGGGATTAAAGATGCATATAACTTCGATCCAGCCTTCTTCAGTGTTGTCAATGGCGATCCACTTCCTGATCCCACAAGGTCTATAGCTTGCGCAGGGTTAGAATAGAAGGAGTTCAATGTCGTAGCTGAAATTTGCGCCAGGTGAGAATAGACTTGCGGTAATTCCTGCGGACCAGTGGACCCGGATATCGTCCGCGAACTAGCAGAGGTGACTTGCGATACCGAACTGTAAGGAGAAATAGTAGTTCACGTAGAAGTTTGCGAACTCAAAGGAGTGGCTTGAGACGAAGAATGCGAACAGTGAGACGAGATTTGCGATGAAGATGGCGATTCTTCTCTCATTCGGTTCTTTCTTGGACGTGAAGTAATAGCTGCTGTGTCAGTCTGCGAAGGGAGAGAAACTGTTCGCGATTGATAATTATGAGGAGTTCGCGACTTCGTCTGCGACTCCCTTAGCGATAGCGGATGAGGTCTAATCTTCCTCGATCGGTCTCCAGATTCTCTGTGAATCCTATGCTCTTCCGATCTCTCTGAACTATCTGAGTGTCGATGATGAGAGTTGCGATGCGTAGTAGAATAGTCCAAATTCTCTTCCGATTCCTCTGGATTAGATGACCTTTGTGAATGATAATGCGAAGTATGACGAGAAGAGCTATGCGAAGAGCGATTGAAAGATTTATGCGAAGAACGATGCGAATGGTGCGAACTGTGCGACGTATGGGATCGATTCTTAGAATGACTTTGAAGTCTGTTCTGCACATCTGTGATGCTAGCTTGTATCGTGGCTTCCATCGCAGCCAGATTCGCCTCCATATTAGTCTGGAACTTCCGCAGATTTCTATTCATATTCCTTCCAAATTCTACCAAATTTCCCTCAACTTCGTTGATTCGTCTTTCCATCCTTGCGAGCGTGTAACTCATCCAGCGAACGACGCGCTCTGATACCAATGATAGAACCTCCAAGATTCCAGAACAATACACAGGAAGATTATCAAGAAACAATTTACAACTTTATTGATTAATAGAGGAAGAACAAAGATTGTCGATCGGTAAACAGTAACAAAGGCCGAAGCCTCCCAAAAGAGAAGAGAATAACTCTCTAATCTTTCCCAGTCCCAGTCCAAAAGTCCCAAAAGCCTCCTTACTACTCCCCTTCCCCTCTATTTATAATAGAGACCCTTATTACTAATATTATTATTATTACTTCTATTATTAGTCTAATAGGTAGGTCCCTATCACATACCTTAATATCCCAAATCAATTCTCTTTTACTCTGACAAAATCTCTACTTAAAACTAAGCAACCACTGTAATTTACCAGGAAAGTTGCAACGGATGAAGTCAATGAGAGTGATGATGAATCCAAAAGGAGCAAGACGGTATAACTATCTACTCCCTCCATCCCAAATTATTCATCTCTCATTATAAATTTCTCCTATAATAAATTATCATTTTAGAATTTCAAAATGTAGGTTTTGTTTTTCTTCCGTAATTGCCTCTATTGAATCCTTTTCAATTATATATCAGACTATCAGTTATTGAAAAATGAGTATTTGAAACAAGAGCATTTATAACCTCACTCCTTGAGATAAGTTAATACATTAATATTTCATACGGAGTATTAGGATAAAAAGTGTGGGCACTGGGCACAATCTTCGAGATATAATTTCACGGTTTCTAAGAGTTAAAAACAAGAGAACTGTAAGACATAAATAAGTGACGAATCTGTGTTTCGTAAAATGATATTCAATTTGTGATGGGTGATAATTTTCCTTATGAGCTACTCAATTTGGGGCATTAGAGATGATCTGACCAGTATCTGGAGGGACAACCAGAAATGCGCCAGGTTCTGTTGCAGCGAATCAATGGTTATTTTTTGGAATTTTCTCCAAAGTGATGAAAATGAAGATTACAGCGATGAGTTAGTAGCTCCAAATTTTAGGGAAAACTAGGACATATAGGCAGATATACTTAGTTATGTTCTGAGACTTAGAGAGTGAAGCTTGTTGGGTGGCCATCTCTCTTTCATGACCATTCTAGAATCCTTACTTCACGATTAGATGTTTTAAACACACTGAACTTCAAAAGGGTGGACTAGTCTAAGCTCATTGCAAAATTGCTGCAAAGCTCTTGTTAAAGGGCCACAAATACGAGAAGCAGATAATTATCACTGTTCTTCGTCATATAGGTATTTACACCTTTTTTTTGCTTTAGATGAAACTGCAATTATTCGTTACCTACTTTTACGGAGTCACCCAATGATTGCAAAATTTTGACCAGTTTAACAGGTTAGATGATTATGATTTATGAGTAGGGACACCCTATTATTGAGATTATTTGGAATCACACATATTTGGTATCAATATAGAAAGAATGCTCATATATGAGATTGTTCATATGAGCCCTTTCACCCCACCCCTGAATTCTAAATATAGGCTTACTGATATCAAAGTATGCATTGATTGATCATTGATGCTGAGAAATCACACAGGAAAACATTGTTTACTGCATTCTGAACTCTATTTCTGTGGTTTGAGAACATTCGGTTTCTGCAGGAAGCATGTCCTGCAAGCAGTGGTGGTGGCAGGGGAAGAGGTAGGGGAAGGGGTAGGGGTAGAGGGCGTGGGACTCGCACTGATAGGGAGCCTGCTCAACATGATGTTGAAACCGATACCCATTCTTCTCAACATATATATTCTACTCATACCCAGAATCCTGTGATGTTGAAGGAAACCTGTCTCGAGTCAAAGGAGTCATTACCTCAACTGGATCCTAATGCAACAGATGGTGTTCACAAATCAGAAATCAATTACATTAATGTAAAGGGTATGTTTATTTCATGCAAAATGCTAGAACTAAAGGGAAAAAGGCGAAAAATCATTCAGAAAGTTATGCATAGTTTTACCTTAGAAAATGCAAAGAATCTGAATGTGTTTCTTTTATTTATTTTATTTGTACATATATTTAGAATTTAGTTTCTTATTCATTATGTAATTCACATAAAATAATTAAAATGAGTATCAAAACTAACTAATATAAATTCTCGCAGTTTTAGATTATATTTTATTTCCTTCCAAGTTTCCTCTCTTTCACTTCATTCTATATTTTTCTAGTACCTGGATTCCAAACGGATCCTAAGGCTAATGGGGATGGGAGTGCTGATAAAGTGGAAAATTGCGTTGGAACATCAATGCCTCCAGACGCTAAAGACAGTGCTGCTGGTCTGGTGCTTTCTGAGATTGACAGAATGGCTGTTGACCCGCTCCATTTTGCACAGTTCAACTCAAATGTTGAAGATGAGGAAGAAGAAGACTACGATGACGAAGGGTGATTAAATGAAAATGAAGAGCTTTAGAATGAATATTCAAGTCTTCAATTTCATCTTCCTTGCTGTATTAATATGTAATGTAGATTTACGAATTTTATCTGCAACTAATCTTGTTAACTCCGATAATAATTCTTATGAGAAAAAGAGGTGTAGCTCAGGATAGCTAGGAGTTAGCAATGTCACATTATGTATCTCATTTATTTCCATCGAGTGTATGACACTCCGTTTTTACCATTATGAAACGTTTGTTTGATTAATGTAAAAACACTCTTGAGAAGAAAGAATCTGAAGAACCCTGTGGGCCATCATTACTGGAGAGTTGGGTCACTGTACTTGGGTAGTTTGGTGTAAAGTTTCAATTTTTTTTGATAATCTAGGTGTCGGGTTTACACTCATAATCTTGGAGTTTATGAACTACCCTTCAAAGTCTCCAATGAATTCGGATATGATCACAGTCAACTTCATCGGTATTGACTCCAAAGGACGAATCTAGCAGGGCTTACATCACCTGCTTCTTCCAAGAGAGACTTGAGGACGGATAGTCATCCATTGGATTACACCCACCAACTCTTTGGTGTAATGTGTCAACACTTTACTGTACATATGCTTAAAGTACTGCGAACTTGTCTCATTAAACATTGTTAGTGTTTCTATATGCTAAAAAATCACTTGTCTTTGGAAATAATTAATTTATGATTAGTATTACGTCTCTCTACTATACACAAGCTTTATCCAAACAGTTTTTCTGTTATTCCACATGCTAGTTGACGTTGATAATGTTGGCTAATTAAGTGTTTATTTTTTACAAGACAATATATATTAATGCAATTATCGTAAGGAAAAGACTTGAGCAGTCGTGCACGGTACAATGCAGACACTTATAATTCTATTGCCTTTGTTCTTTATTAACTGCAGCACGCTTCATTTTTCATTATTCATATCCTCTACTTCAATCATATTTTATTAGTTAATGCATTAACAAAATAAATTATAAAACATTATTTTAAAATTTATCTCAACTATCATTTTTTTACTAATAGTCATTTAAACCTATTAGTAGTCAAAGTTGTCTATTACTCAATAGCAAGTATAAAAATCAAAGTATTGCAATAAGAAAAGGACGAAAAAATATAAAGTTATGTAAAATTCATTCCCGGACTAATATTGAACTTTTATAGACCAGCAAAAAGGGGTTGGACTTTTATATTCCATACATACTTTCATATTGGTTTTATAATTAACTGAATTAAGGTTTATAAAATTTAAAGAATGATGAAGTTATTTTTTTTCCTAATGATGTTTAAATTATGATTAGATAACTAATCACACTTTAGGACTTTATATACTTAGGAATTAAATTAAAAGTTCTACTAGTGTAACACCCGGGGGCCGGGGCATGCCCGGGTAGCGTCATGCATGTTAATATGAATTATAATGATATACACTAATAGAAGTTCTGAATTATTTAAGAATTTGTTAATAACATATTTTTGTTGAAAAATAATATATTTAGTTAAATTTTGTTGAGAAATGAGAAATGTAATTTTAAAAAATTAGTGCGTATATGATTTATCAGCACATTAGTTGAAAAAGGTTTGTAGTATGCAAAGTAATAAAAGTATAGTGAAGTGAAAATATTCATGTACTAAGTATCATAGATGTGATCTAAAAGAAAAATGCATTTTTGAAAGAAAGCAGGAAAAAATAGCATTAAAAGGATTACTATTAAATCTTTTTCAAATCTCATTATTTTTCTATAATCAACATTTCGTGATTGATTATGGAACTTGGAGCGTCTTTAAAGAATAGATTGAACTATATTTTAAATCTGAAACAAAGTAGGGGGGAAATAGCATTAAAAAGATTATTAAAATCTTTTTCAATTCTCATTATATTTTCATAATCAATATTTCTAGATTGATTATTTCCTACCGCGTCTTAAAAAAAAATAGATTGAACTATTTTTCAAATAGCTTAATTGGTTAACTAATTTGAATAGTTTATTCAAATATGATTCATGCTTGGTAACCGAGAAGCACATAATGTCTATTGTTTAAATAACATTTATTAAACCGAATGCATGTGTTTGTATGCTTGATATACTGGTTACCCGTTGCCAAAATAGACTAATAAGTTGTAAACATGGTGCTATCTACGGCTGATAATCATGGGAGTGAAGTATTAGGGGAGGAGGAATCCGTGGACTTATCTATGGCTGCTGTGGTTCTTTTGAAGAAGAGGAAAACAGGGTGCTTCGAAGTAGGGGTACCCAGTGAGGATGGGTCGGCTATGGAGGTAAACTTCTCAAAAAACGTAGAGGCGGCGGGACCTGGATTCCAGGCCCGCCGGGAATTATGAGTTGCTTTAGCTGGAACTGTCGTGGGCTCGGCAATTCTGCGACAGTTCAAGTGTTGGTGGATTTTGTCCATCTGAAGAAGCCGTCTTTAGTTTTCCTAATGGAAACTTTTGCTACTAGAACGCGAGTGGAAGGTGTTATGAGGAAAGTGGGGTTTAATTCTTGCTTTGTAGTGGATTGTGGGAGTCATAGGGGCGGTTTGGCATTAATGTGGAGGGATGAGCTACAAGTTCATATTCGGGGCTCTTCTCCTAATTTTATCGATGCTGAGATTCAGTTGGAAACATGCAGCCCCCTGTGGCGTTTCACGGGTTTTTATGGGTGTCCTGAACGTGTACGTCGAAAGGAATCTTGGGAGATTTTAAAATCCTTGGCGAGAGATTCACACATTCCCTGGCTGGTCATGGGGGACTTTAATGATCTTATGGTGGATTCAGATAAATGTGGCCGAATTCCTCATCCTCCTTGGTTGCTTAGGGGTTTTCGTGAGGCGGTCTGGTCATGTGGGCTACAAAACTTTCCTTTTCAGGGTCATCAATTCACTTGGGAAAGGTGGAGGGGTTCAGAGAATTGGGTCGAAGAGAAATTGGACAGAATCCTGGTTTCGGCTGATTGGTTGGATATGTTTGGGGAGGCCAAGGCTGAATCTCTGGAAGGAGCCCCAAGTGATCACCTAGCTTTGTTGATAAAGTTTACTGGCTCTCGACATTTTCATCGTAGAAGCAAATTCAAATTTGAAAACATGTGGCTTCGGGATGAAGACTGTAGGTCCATAGTGGCGAGAAGTTGGGGATTGGCGGCTGGTGCCGGGATCATGCAGCATATTGAAGTCTGTAGCAAATCTGTTGGTGAGTGGGGAAGAACGAAAGTTGGGGATATGGGGAAAAGGATCAGTTTTTGCAGGAAACGGCTAGAGTATTTACGCCGTTTTTCGGATAGTTGGCATCTGGAGATTTTTGAGAAAGTTAAACGAGAATACCTGGACCTATTGGAGCGGGAGAATCTCTTCTGGCGCCAACGAGCTAAGGAATTTTGGTATTCGGGGGGGGGGGGACCTAAATTCCAGATATTTTCATAATTCTGTCAAACAGAGGAGGAGGAAGAATAGGATTGAGGGCCTGCGTGGAGAGAGTGGCGGGTGGGAATCTGACAGAGAGGAAGTTGGACGTCTAATTGGCATTTATTTCACTGACATTTTTTCCTCTGTGCAGAATGCAGGTGACTGTGTGTATCATTGGGTTCCTAGGAAATTGGATGCATCACATAATTTTCTGCTGTCTCGGCCTGTGTCAGGAGAGGAGGTTAAGATGGCTGTTTTTGCTATGTATCCAGACAAATCACCTGGCCCGGATGGTTTGAGCCCAGGATTTTATCAGCACTATTGGGATGTGGTAGGACCGGAAGTTACTCAGTTTTGCCGTGATGCTTTTTGTACAGGTAAACTTCCGGATAGGATTAATCATACTAATTTAGTATTAATTCCAAAGAAGGATAATCCTGAGGTAATGGGAGACTGGAGGCCTATTGCTCTTTGTAACGTTATTTATAAAATCTTTTCAAAGGTTCTGGCTAATAGATTAAAAAAGGTCTTGCATTTGTGTATCTCGGAGCAACAAAGTGCTTTTATACCGGGAAGATCTATTATTGATAACATAATGATAGCCTTTGAAACTCAACATTTTTTGAAAAGGAAAAATCAAGGTAAGGAGGGGTATGTTAGTCTTAAGTTGGATATGAGTAAGGCGTATGACAGGGTGGAATGGTCTTTCTTGAAAGGAATGTTATTTCATTTGGGTTTCGAGGATCGGTGGGCTCAGATGATTATGGAGTGTGTTTCTTCGGTCTCGTATTCTATTCCCTTTGATGATACAGAGATAGGTCCTATCATTCCTACCCGGGGATTGAGACAGGGCGACCCTTTATCCCCTTACTTATTTCTCTTAATTGCAGAAGGTTTAAGTGCTCTTTTGAAGAAACATGAGTTGGCTGGCCAGGTTCACGGAATTGCTATTGCCCGGGGGGCTCCTAGAATTTCTCATCTGCTTTTTGCTGATGATAGTTTGCTCTTTTTCAAAGCAAATCACAGTGAGGCGTCCTGTGTGAAGGAAATTCTGACTGAGTATGCCTCGGCCTCTGGACAGGTAATTAACTTGAATAAATCAAAACTTTTCTTTAGCCCTAATGTGACGGCTGATTATAAGGAAGGTTTAATGGAGTTATTGGGAGTGAGACAGGCGGGTAATGAGGAGTTTTATTTGGGGTTGCCGGCTTTAATTGGAAGAAATAAGAAGGGAGTGCTTTCTTTTTTGAGGCAGAGAATGGTAAACCGGATTCAATGTTGGAATAATCGGTTTCTTTCGAGAGCAGGGATGGAGGTGTTACTTAAATCTGTTATTCAGGCAATGCCAAATTATGCGATGAATGTTTTTCTACTCCCTAAAGATTTATGTAAAGAGATTGAGATTATGATGAATGGATACTGGTGGCAGGGGAAAACGAGTAAAGGATTAAGATGGTGTAGTTGTGATTTTTTATGTCGGCCTAAAAAATTTGGTGGGATGGGATTCAGAAAACTGCGAGAGTTCAATTTAGCAATGCTTGCTAAACAGGCTTGGCGGATTTTTACATAACCGGACACTCTAGTTGGGAAAGTTTATAAGGAGCGGTATTTTCGGGAAGGGAATTTCCTAGGTGCTAAGCTTGGTTCTAACCCCTCTTTTATTTGGCAGAGCCTGATCCAGACTCAAGCAATTATTCGTAGCAGCTATATGTGGAGGGCTGGGCGAGGGTGCGATATTAACATCTGGAGTGACCATTGGCTCCCAGACAAGAGTAATCCGAGGGTGATTTCAGTTCCAGTTCTGGGTTTGGAATCGGCTAAGGTGGATAGCTTGCGGGTGGAAGATGGGACCAGTTGGGACGTCGATCTCCTTCGTGACCTG